GGCATCACTGATGACATAGCCAGCCAGGAAGCAGTGCTTTTTTTCCAGCTGGAACTCCCTGGAACTCAATTCTGGCACCTCTCTGGTGGGCACCAAGAGAACAAGGGAGGCATTCATTGTGAGTTCTGGCACCTCTTTTTCTAGAAAAAGAGCACTTATGGTTTGGGTTCTTTGGGACCATCACCCAAAATGACATAACTGGTGACACAACATTCCTTGAAGCCTTAAGGTTTGGGTTAATTTGCCACATCATCACTCCAACACAACAGGCCTGGGTTATTTAACAAACTCCAAGATAGGGCATCTCCCTCAAATCAATCAATCAATCAATCAATCAATCTGGCATCTGACTTGGTATGTCAAGAGTTTGGTGCCAACAGTTAAGTCAACTTCAGCTAGATTTTTCTTGGTTAAATTTCTTCTCATAGAAATTTAATTCCTGTATTTTTTTTATCTTGCTCTGGCAGAATATGTACCATGGCAAGTATATAAGAACATACTGGGAGATAATTCCTGCATAGTAGTTACCATCAAATTCTTTGATTTTGAGTTAGTCCTGTTTGATAGCTCGACTGGTGAATTTCACTGGGCTCCTTGAAGAGTCCTGACAGCACAGAAGGTGATCTCATTCTTTAGTATCACAACAGTAGATATAGTAATAGCATTTAGAAGGAAATTGGGAAGATTATAGTATTGTCTTATTTTTATGCTGAACAATAACCATTTTTGCCAGATCTAATATATGTATCTCCTAAGTTCTTCCTGCAGAGATTCTTCAATACGATGAACTCTGAAATAACAATGTAAAATTGACCCTGTGACCCCAGCAGTAATTTCAATCATTGTTTGGAAAGATGAAAATAACCTTCTCGTCCTCACGATGTTTTGTGCCATCTAATGTAAGCCCTTCTATATACTATTCATTTATTGGTTTCAAATGACACCATGCCTCTGATGACAAGAGCATCAGATATAATGACATTTTGGGTCTATTTGGAGGGTATGTCTATTCAGTCATACTCGTTCCCCATTTAAACAAATAAAACAATGAGAGGAAAGATCACCTATTATTCCATAAAAGATCACGGGGGCAGAACAGCCAAGCCTTCCTTCAACCAAGAAAAGAACGAAACTAATAGGGAGATGGAGAAGGAGGAACTTCATTATATGCTCTGATAATTGCTCTGTAATACAGAGACCTGCACAAATCCTCAGTTCACTCTGTGTATGAAAGATAGAAATAGGAACAACATCTTATGAAAAATGCACGTGGATAAAGTACTTGTCAATGGACTCATCGTCTGAAACAACATCAATTATTCTATAAAGTTTCTAACTGCAGAAGATGGAGTTTTCTTTCTTTGTTTAGCAAATTAACAGGACTAATGGAAGGAGAGGGGGAAGAAGAGAGAAAGCGTAACATCACTTAAGGCAGCATAGGGCTTTAAAGGTCAAAAACAGCTTCAATTCCATTTTTTGCCCAAGAATTATGTGACCCATGAGAGCAGCAAAATAACCAGACTGTACAATGGTGATGGGATAAAATGAGGCTCAATCTTTATTGACAGCAGCAGGCTGGGCAAGGGTTGGCATGGGAGTGTGTCCCAGGATTAAAACATCGTTCCACAAGACCCATGTTGATGGAATGGGTTTGGATCGCTCCAAGCCTGTATGTCGGGAGTCGGCCAGTGTTGCTGTGATGCAAGCCAAGCAAGTAAGCTCTCACTGGGGGACCAGGGTGCAGATTCCAACCAGGCAGATACCGAACCCACGCTTGGCTTTTGCCGTGGTCAATCCTCCCCTCAGTCCCCTTATGCCCCCCCCATACTATGTTGATCCTGACCAATGCCATTTCTGCCCTCATACAAACAATGTTCTCCCATCTAACAAAGGAAAGCCATAATTTCACTGAGGGAAAGGTGAAAAAAACCCCAACCAGGTGGCAATCAGGTTGGGGGGGGGAATCATTTCTGGTCCTGTCAACCTGCAACCCAAAATTGCTCAGTGAAGGCTCTCACCCGAGGGCAGGTGGGAAGCTCTCAAAGCAAAATGGCTGTAAGCTCCAGGGGAAGCAGCCTTATATAGGCTTTCCCTTCCCTTCTTCAGCAAGGGTTCATGGGACAGCTTTTTCCCATAAGCCCATCACACAGAGGAGATACGGGACAAAACCTTGACCAGTATTTTGCTGCAATCTATGGCCCACAGCGGCACTGGGCAAAGGCGCCCCATGGTTATTTGGCATGGAACGGGGCTTAAAATATTAACCCCCTTGCCTAAGATAACCAGGGCTTATTTTGAGATCTTCAAATGTGATGGCCTGGGGTTGGCCCCTATCATAGCCACATGACAATGTCACAAAACAGAACCAGTAAGGGCAAGAAACACTGACCTCACTCTTGACAGGCTTATTGTACCAACTGAAGCCAAATCCAATGAGCGAAATCCTTCCTGCCCTTACTCTGAATACACAGACTTTTCCACCCTGGTCTACATCCCTTCTCTGAAAATTCACCAAAAATTATAGATGGCATTCAACTAAGTTTTACTCAATGCAGACCCATTGAAATTCATGGACCTAACACAAGTTCGTTCATTTCAAGGGTTGTGCTTTGAGTAAAACTTCATTGTTCATTTTTCAGGCACAATATTTTTCCTTGGCATAAACCTAAGAAGATTGATCTTTCAAATGGATTTGAAATTAAGTACAGAGACAAGGCATTAACATGTGCTGGTTATTTTAAACCCCAGGTGTGCATATCTTTGCACTAGATCCATTTATTATCCTGGTATTTGCGCAGTTTTTATTATCAGTGGGTTGCATCCAAACTATGTTAATTCTGAAAGTTAGACCCATTGAAATTAATGCACCTATGTTAATCATGACCATTAATTTCAATGAGTCCTTGGTATAATGTTGGATACATTTTGCTTGTTCTACAGTAGTAGTAAGACACACACACAAATAGCCACAATCATTATCAGTTTAAATCTTGTATTCACCATTCTATCTCAAGAAGATTAAATAATTACTGGTGTTAAATCAGTTTACCTCTGTTAAGTTCCACAGAACAAATTACTCAATCTAATGACCTTCTGTGCCAGCTATTAAATGGTTAAGCAAGGGCACACCAATTAAAGCACCACAACTTTCCCACAAACCAAGGGAAGGTTTCAGGGTGATAAAGGTAAAGGGACCCCTGACTGTTAGATCCAGTCGCAGACGACTCTGGGGTTGCGGCGCTCATCTCGCTTTACTGCCTGAGGGAGTCAGTGTACAGCTTCCGGGTCATGTGGTGATACACCAATGCAAATGTTTAGGTTAATTTACCATGCCAAGGTGCCTAATGAATTTAAATATACCCCTTTATCAATTTTAAGTCACCAATCTCTTATGCTTTAATTTACCTTAACAGGAAATTTAAGCGAATCATGTTTCATTCTCCAAAGCAGAATGTTTTTATGTAATGCTGGAAAGTTTAATAATATTCCTTTGGGGAATATAATTAATAAGGTCTTGGAACTATATTTGCAACACTCTATAGGGATAATTACTATGCAGATTTATAGAACTTTGCTGGTGGAGAGAAATTCAAACATCCCTCCCAGGAGTCATAACTTATTTCATTGTAGACAGTAAAAGGTGAGAAAGTCAGGTCAAACTTACAGCAGATTTCTTCAAAGTTCTCTGGAGACCTGAAAATGATGTAGTCATTTCCATAGCAACTAAATGCACCAACAACATTATGTTTATTAATTACTTAGACGAAGAGCAGAAATTGCACCAAGCAAAATATGGATAATGAGCTAGGATGTCACTTTGCGACTGGAGAGATATTACTTATCCTAAAGAATCTGTTCTTCCTTGTCTGCTAACAGTCAATTCTGAGCATTAAATACGTCAAAATGGATATAAATAAGGGATCTGGTTTTTTTTATTCTTATTTTTACATCCAGGACATATTGTAGACAGGTATTAAAGGTACAGGCTCTTTGGATCAGGGTCAGCAAACTTTTTCAGCAGGGGGCCGGTCCACTGTCCCTCAGACCTTGTAGGGGGCCGGACTATATTTTGAAAAATAATAATGAACGAATTCCTATGCCCCACAAATAACCCAGAGATGCATTTGAAAGAAAAGGACACATTCTACTCATGTAAAAACATGCTGATTCCCGGACCATCTGCAGACCGGATTTAGAAGGTGATTGGGCCGGATCTGGCCCCCGGGCCTTAGTTTGCCTACCCATGATTTGGATCCTTCCTCATGTATTCCATGACAATGGGGCAACTGCAGCATGTGCCCTTTTCCTGGTTCATGCCAGGTGAGGGGGACCCTGGCAAAGTACCCCCTGTTAAGCCTTCTTAGCAATAACAGCAGCCTCCCCCCTCCAGGATACAAGGGGTAGCAATTTTCACCCTGCATTTGTCACAATCAGCGCTGCTTCCGTTCCACTGCAGTTCAGCTTCTGCTGAAACTTACATTGTTCATCTTGCTGTCTGCTGTAGTCAAAACTACTGTAATGAATTACTTCATCAATTAGTCAATGAATTTCAGTGGAAGGGAAACCTCAAAAACAATGCAGAAAAACACACACAATTATTTACATAATGTTTGCAAGCTACACCCCTCCCCCTGCCCCAACAATAGCAAATGCTCATATTTGCTTGCCTGGTTCCTATTCTTGACCTACAACAAAGATGTGAATTGTGGCAGTTTCTGTTCCAATGGAATTCTTCAACATCTGCAAGGATTCCACTGAACCCCAGCCAGTCTTATCAGAAGCAGGAGCCACAGCTACCATTGTAAATGGCCCACAATGGCGCAAAATACCATTATTCCAGTGGAGCATCGTGAGAAATGTACAATGGTGGGACACTTTAAAAAGCAGAAATTGGAGAATGGGCAGGTAGATCTAATAACTGTATTAAAGAATTAGAATTATAGAATTGTAGAGTTAGAAGGGACCACAAGGACCGTCTAGTCCTGCCCCCTGCAATCCTTTGCTCAGCATGGGGCTTGAACCCACAACCTTGAGATTTTGAGTCTCACGTTCCACCAACTGAGCTATTCAGCCTGGACATACCTTTAAGGAGCAGTCCAATTTCCTCTTTGCCATTTTCCTGGAAAGCTTAGTGCCACTGGGTGTGGTTCTGAAATGTTCTCTCCAAATATAAGTGTATTAGTTTCTTTTTGACTGGCTTTTGGTTATGTGTGTTTTGCCAAGGCTGTTTCCTAATTAAGAATAGTCATGTGGTGGCTGTGTAAAAAAACAAAGGCGTTTTGGGACAGTATATATAATGAATTTAAAAAAATGTTTAGATATACCTTCCCTAAAAGGCCAGAGGCATTTCTTTTAGGAATGATTGGGGATGAGATACCAAAAGAAGACGAAAAACTATTTCTGTATATGACAACGGCGGCCAGAGTTTTGATAGTTCAAGGATGGAAATATCAAGATCTGCTGACTATCGAGGAATAATTATACATACTTTATCAACCTTCTGAGAAAAATACAAAACATAAACAAAGCCACAGAGATTTGTGGACTACCCAAACTAAGATGAACTTATAATGTCTGGTTTCAATAGATTTTTCAAATGCTTAACTCAGTTTTTTAGATAAGTTCATGAAGATACCAACAAAAGGTAAGTTTTGTGTTATTCACAATACCGAGAGATGCTAGTGGAGTTGTAGATAGATGTTAATGAAATTGTAGACAATAAAGTTGTAGACGACAGGGTGCTGGCATTTTGCACCTGTTTTGCCCTGGCAGTCCAAGTAATCAAGAGGCCACTGTTCACCCCCGATGGGGTCCTTTTACAGGTGGCACACTTCCAATATAGTTTCTCAGGATTCTTTGGTGGTCTAATCTCAAAGTCTTGATACGTATATTGATATTCAATCTTATAGAGAATACTCTTTCTTGGCTTAAGTTTAAGAGACTGATTTGCTTAGCCATTAGCCTTAACTATTGCGGAATGACAAACAAAGATGGTAGAGTCTGCAGAATTAGCCAGGATGACAGGATGAATTCATGAGCAGGACGACCAGACGTTCCAAAAGGAATGGAAGAAATTTATAACCTACCTTGAGAAACACTGTTTACATATAAGAACACTGGCGGGTCTGAGATAAACCTTACAACGTATAATTGATGGAGCATTCTATATGAGATTATAGAAAGAACCATGTATAGATATGAACAGTGTTGTTTATTGTTGATTAGTCGTTTAGTCGTGTCCGACTCTTCGTGACCCCATGGACCAGAGCACGCCAGGTACTTCTGTCTTCTACCGTCTCACGAAGTTTGGTCAGACTCATGTTTGCAGCTTCGAGAACACTGTCCAACCATCTCATTCTCTGTCGTCCCCTTCTTCTTGTGCCCTCCATCTTTCCCAACATCAGGGTCTTTTCCAGGGAGTCTTCTCTTCTCATGAGGTGGCCAAAGTATTGGAGCCTCAGCTTCACGATCTGTCCTTCCAATGAGCACTCAGGGCTGATTTCCTTAAGAATGGATGCGTTTGATCTTCTTGCAGTCCATGGGACTCTCAAGAGTCTCCTCCACCACCACAATTCAAAAGCATCAATTCTTCGGCGATTAGCCTTCTTTATGGTCCAGTTCTCACTTCCATACATCACTACTGGGAAAACCATGGCTTTAACTTTATGGACCTTTGTTGGCAAGGTGATGTCTCTGCTTTTTAAGATGCTGTCTAGGTTTGCCATCGCCTTTCTCCCAAGGAGCAGGCGTCTTTTAATTTTGTGACTGCTGTCACCATCTGCAGTGATCATGGAGCCCAAAAAAGTAAAATCTCTCACTGCCTCCATTTCTTCCCCTTCTATTTGCCAGGAGGTGATGGGACCAGTGGCCATGATCTTCGATTTTTTGATGTTGAGCTTCAGACCATATTTTGCACTCTCCTTTCTCACCCTCATTAAAAGATTCTTTAATTCCTCCTCACTTTCTGCCATCAAGGTTGTGTCATCTGCATATCTGAGGTTGTTGATATTTCTTCCGGCAATCTTAATTCCGGCTAGGGATTCATCCAGCCCAGCCTTTCGCATGATGAATTCAATATGAACAGTATGCTGATATTAATCAATGTGTAAATATTATAGTGTGGAAACAAGAAAACCAGAAGAGGAGTAGAGGGAAGTGGTAATCCTGAGAGTTTTAGGTTACTAATATTGTAAGAATGTATAAATATATAATATGAAAATCAATAAAAACAATTGCAAAAAAAGAATAGTCTGTTGGAGAGCCTACCTGTCTCTGCCGAGTGCTGACTTGATAACAGGACTTATGAGCACTCCACTTGTGAAGGGGAACTATTATAATACATAGCCAGCACTAAGCAGCCCTCTAGGTGCTGTGTTAAAATGAGCTGGTAACAGGATGGCTTCCTACCCCTGTGTTTTTCTTCCTGGGACTGGAGACACATTGCTGTGGAAAGGAGTCGCATCCTAGGCTCTCAACACATGACCTCCCACAGCAGTAGTGCAGGAAAATCCACAGGCAGCATGAGCTGCAGTTGAGTTTCTTTATTTCAGATATTTGGTAACCTGCTTTTGAGCTGGAAACTACAAGTGGTTAAAAGTAATACAATGGAAATACTGTAGTCATCTAAACAGCCTTACATCTTCTCTTGTCTCGTTATCTGGCCCTATCATTCACCAGCAGTTTGAGGGAGCTGGAGCAAGTGATAAGATTAGGGTGGAACTTGGAAGACTCCCGGGATGTGGGTGGCGCTGTGGGTTAAACCACAGCGCCTAGGGCTTGCCGATCAGAAGGTCAGCAGTTCAAACGGGGTGAGCTCCCGTTGCTCAGTCCCTCCTCCTGCCAACCTAGCAGTTCGAAAGCACATCAAAGTGCAAGTAGATAAATAGGTACCGCTCTGGTGGGAAGGTAAACAGTGTTTCTGTGAGCAGCTCTGGTTCACCAGAAGCAGCTTAGTCATGCTGGCCACATGACCCGGAAGCTGTACGCCGGCTCCCTCAGCCAATATAGCGAGATGAGCACCGCAACCCCAGAGTCATCCACGACTGGACCTAATGGTCAGGGGTCCCTTTACCTTTACCTAGGAAGACTCCCAGGTACTTCTCAATAAGGGTGGGAATGCCTCTTTGGAACAGAACCCTGCTCAGCTCCCATCCACAATGGCCACACACCATTCTAAGTTACCCACAATGCAATGCCCTGGCTCATACTCCATGTAGGTCTATAAAAAGGTAAAGGTAAAGGACCCCTGACACTTAAGTCCAGTCACGGACAACTCTAGGGTTGCGGTGCTCATCTCGTTTTACTGGCCGAGGGAGCCAACGTTTGTTTCCGCAGACAGTTTTTTCTGGGTCATGTGGCCAGCATGACTAAGCCACTTCTGGCAAAACCAGAGCAGTGCATGGAAACGCCGTTTACCTTCCTGCCGGAGTGGTACCTATTTATCTACTTGCACTTTGACATGCTTTTGAGCTGCTAGGTTGGCAGGAGCTGGGACTGAACAACGGGAGCTCACCTCATTGTGGGGATTCGAACCTCCGACCTTCTGTTCAGCAAGCCCAAGGCTCAGTGGTTTACACCACAGCGCCACCCATGTCCCTATGTAGGTCTATAGATTTATGCATTGCTACTTTTCTAGAAAAAGAGGTGTCAGAACTCCACCCTTGTTCTCTTAGAATGACGATGGTGCCTACCTGAGAGGTGCTGGAACTGAGTTCTGGCTGGAAAAAAAAGCCCTGGATTTATGAGATCTATATAGATCTATACATGCTATGTGGGTAACTTATGTTGGTGTGCAGCCACCACAGATGAGAACTGGGCTCAGTTCTTCTTCAAAATCACTGCCACCTTTCCACCTCTGAAGTTTGTCTGAAGGCCCAATGGAGGGCAGTCGGTGGCACCATCAACTAAAGTGGTGATGGCAGAGAAAGAAGAAGAAGAGTTTGGATTTGATAGCCCGCTTTATCACTACCCGAAGGAGTCTCAAAGCAGCTAACATTCTCCTTTCCCTTCCTCCCCCACAACAAACACTCTGTGAGGTGAGTGGGGCTGAGAGACTTCAAAGAAGTGTGACTGCAGCTGCATGTGGAGGAGCGGAGACGCGAACCCGGTTCACCAGATTACTAGTCTACCGCTCTTAACCACTACACCATGCTGGCTGCCACTGTGGCTAACAAAAGCAAGGATGGGTCATGCCCTGTGGTGAGCTCATCTTTGGCCCTGGCACCAACTCTGACCACATTGCAGGGAGGGATTGAGGCTTGCTTAAGATGACCAAGGGGACTCATTGAAAAGATGAGATTTGAGCAGACGCTTAGACTTTATTTCATCGGAACTGTCGAAATGGCGCCTGCCGCCCGAATAGGACTTTTGGATCAGCGTGGAAAGCCACACAGGAACATAATAATGTTTGCTTCACTTGTGAAACAACTCAGAGGTTATTAAGAAGAAAAACGATAACAACAAGAAGATTGGAAGATGGGACTTGTGAACATCAAAGCAGCAGAAATGTGAGATGATTGGACCCTTACTGAGCTCGAAGCATGGGTACCCCCAACAAAAATTTTAAAAAATCGGCAAAATATTTGGATTTTATGATTTTATGATATGTATTGGTATAATTCGGATTAATTAATGTGATATGATTGGATTGTTAAATGGAAAACTTAATAAAAAATTATTTAAGAAAAGATGAGATTTGAAAAGGGAGGATCCAGCCTCATAGCTTATACCCTTTCTAAGCATGGCATTGTTCCTAAAGCAACACATGAAATGAAAAATGGAGGCCTGCTTTATAAAACGTTAGCAGCAGCGTACTTTGAGTCTAACCCGCCACATTGCTTACTCCAGCTGTTCCCATTCCTCTCCGCAGCAGCTAGCATTTAAGGATATTCGTAGAGCTAGCAGGACAAAATCCAGACAAACGCCCTGCTCAACTTCAACCGTGCATTAGAAATGCATAGGAATGGTTTTGCCCTGCTGGAGATACATAGTGAATTTGGATGATTCCTCTGTGTGGGGGAAAAACATGCAGTACCACTGTGAATACAGGAATACAAAGTAACAGAAGTGAATT